TATATATTTTCCTTTTTTGTACTGGAAGAGAATTTCTCTATTGAGGTAGCTGAAATGGCCACTACAATGGCAAAAGTACAACAATTCCACACTAAGGATCAAAACACAGAAAAACAGGGAAAGACAGTTGTCATGTTGGAGTTGCCATATCAATCCTGAATCTCTCTGAAACTCTTTATGTGAGAAAGATAAATCACTATTTGGTTAAACTACTATTCTGTTCCATGTGGACAAATGCAAGCACTACCAATAAGAAATATTCAAAAACTAAAGAAAGAGCCCAGCCCTGTGGCTTACTGCATTGCCAACTCAAGCTGTGTATGGTGGTGAGCACACACAATTCTGCTTCCAATGAGGGTGTCACACCCTCAGTGTGCTGCTCCCTAGTTTACAGGAGAAACTCCTTGACCTGTACAGCAATAATGCTCAGTATGACAGTAAAATAGAGGTGGGCAAATGACAGACTACTGACCAGATCCAACATAGGTCTGTTCCTGAAGCAACTATATGCTGAGAATGTTATTTTCCTTTGTAAGGGGTTTGCAAAAAATAATAATAATAATAAAAATAATAATAATAATAAATAAAAAATAAGAATAAGGAAGAATATGTAATAGAGTCTGTAAGAGCCTGAAACTTAAAACAGTACTGGGTCCTTTACAAGAAAGAAAAAATATATATATTGATCCTTGCAGATGGCCAGGACAGAGCCAATGGACAAGTTATCACAACTATCCAGGTAGCAAATATTATCCACTTATTAGGACAAATTTCTTCTTTTGATGGATTAGAGAATCATTATGTCAAGACATGGTATATAAATGAATTGCTCTGTATATGATTTTCAGAATGGAAACTCTATTGTGCAATACAGAAGACTGGGAAGTAGCAGTGCTAATTGTATCCTGACTTAATAAGGAAGAATTTGGTTGAAGCATGCTAACATTGGATCCCACTCCCCACCCCCACCCCCAAATAAACACATAATTGCTTTTCACTTCAATTGGAAGTATGATTAAGCATGCAGCAAAAACTCCTAAAAGGAATTAAATATTAAATGCTTCAGAATAAAAGTGCCTTTCAAGAAGAATTCCCAGCCACAGGTGCCACTGAGTGTTCATCCCACAAATACACATTTCCACTATTCACTTTAGTTCCTGTCACACACAACACTGGACAAACAATGCTGGACTGAAAGCACAGAGTAGAAAGATGAAGATTTTTCTAATTTTTTATTATTTTTGCTTTACAGGACCTAAAGATGGTGAGTCATTTAAACATTTGAGTAGTTACTTCAAGTAACATGGAAAAATAAAGGCTTTCATTTTTAATACAAAATGCAAGAATTTTCTAGCCAATGGTAAGGATATATATTATTAAATTTTTTCAAATGCATGTTTTAGAAAACTCATCTCAACATGTAATCAATTCAGTGGTATATAAACCACACAAGTTTATTTTGCCTACTCTGTTGTTAATGAAACCTTACTCCAGCCTTTTGATATTATAGAACTTTTGAAATCCTGGGTTAAAACAAAAACAAAAGAAAAAGAAATGCAAGAATGTTAATCTCTCAGATCCCTGAGTACCTACATTTAATTTAATTTTCAAGATTTTTTGTTTTCTGTATGCATCCTCTAAAGATTCTCAATCAGCATTTCACATGTAAAGCTTTTATATATTTTTTCCCTTTTGAACTTTTGCCATTGCAGAATTTTTACGAATAATGTAATCTATGCTACATCAGTATTATCATTTTAAAGGGTAAGTGGATTTAGGGAAAATAAATGCATCACATCATTTGTTTCCATCTAATATTTTGTAGATGCAACACACTTTTTTTCTCAAATCAAAGAAGTTACCATTTATTCTTACACTGTGTACAATATAAGAATAAACAAATTTTATTCTTATACTGTGTAATTAAATTAGGAATTAAAAGTTTTTGATTTCTGGTATTTTATTTCATGTTGAATATATACATTCACATACTGATAAAAATAATGCAATTATGGAGCTGTTTCTTATATTAGTGATAACTGCCTATGAATGGCATAAAACAACGCATTACAAGGCATGATGGCTTGCAAAATGTTAGTTATGAATATATATATACCCATAACATTAAAATTCCAAGAAGTCTGATTTTTTCATACAACTCACTCTCTACTTGTTCATATTTAAGTTATTTAAAAAATCATTAATTAAACATAGATAGAATTGTGTTCATCAGATTATATACATAGGTAGAAAAATAGCTTTCTTTATGTCTGTCACAGGATTGCATTGAAATAGAAACAGTTCTAGTGTAGCATTTTGGAAGGTCAACACAAGTATTAGAATGGCCAAAATAAGTAGTTTAAAATTGAATTAATCAGATTTTATCAAAAAGGAACATGAGTAAGTACTGAAAAACTACCAAAAGGATATTCTGAGCAAGTATGAATTTAATAAAAAAAAAAAAAAAAACTAAGAAAGAAGAATATATAGTTGTTTTAAAGCACCTAATCTAGGTGAGTTGAAGTACCTATCTTTCCTACCTAAGGTGGGTAGGGTGCTATTCAAAATATTCTTGTGGAGTCACCCACCATTCAAAGAAGATCCCTGAGTAATGAGTGTAGAAGCTCATGACCAGATACAGGGATAGTTCACTGGTATGACCCTACTGGAAATCAGCCACGACCAAGGGGTTTGGAGGGGTCCATGATGTTTGCTACCACACATGTATGTGTTCACTGACCTCTTTCCTACCTGACCTTTAGTGTTAGCCTCACAGAACTTTGCTCCTCCTCTATCCAACACTCAGCCTTCAGTGATTCACCCACTAATCCCCTCCAGAGTACAAAGGAAATAACATGAATCTCTATTTTTTTTTTTTGCTAAGGTGGAAGGAGTTGCTAGCATTATAACTCTCCAGCCATCTTTTATCACTTATTTTCTCAACTTGTCAGGCATACCATTCCATGATATTTTTTTCTCTCAGCTGGTCTTCCCACAGATGATTTCACACATTTAGTTTATTCTATGTTATTTTTTCCTGTCAGGAATTTAGTGGGAGGATCAAAGCAGAAATGCAAAACCTTAGTACCAAAACACAAGAATTTAAAATTTTATCATAATTACATCATGTCAAGCCTGCCTTGCAGTTAATAAGATTCTTGGATGACAATTAGCAGAGATTTAAGTCTCACTGTTTATGTATTTAAAATATGTAAGACTTAAGTATTTTGCAATCAGGACATTTGTTAGTGTTTCTTTACACATTGCTATCTTATTTGTATCCATATGCATAATTAGATTTTTCCCAATCATAAACATTATTAGGATATCATTTAACACCAAACAATTCACCCATTAAATATGTATAATGCAGTATTTTAAAGTATATTAGAAGATTTATGGAATTGTCACTGCAATCTATTTTCACTATCCTCCAAAGAAGCCCCATACTCATTAGCAATCATTCCTAATTTCCTTCTACCCATTAGACCCTGGTAACCTGGTAACCACTTATTTAAATTCTATCTCTATAGAATTCCCTATTTGACATCTTTTATATGAATAAAATCATGAAACATGATTTTTTTCTGACCATTTTCATCAGCATAAAGTTTTCAAGTTTTAACTATATAGCATGTATGATAATTTTATTTTTTGTCAACTATTATTTGGAATGAATTTACATTTTATTTATCCAATAGAATTTTTTCCTATCAACCTATTTCTTTCATCTTATGCTTAGAATTTTGCCTCTTCCAACCTAGTAAAGGTTTTTATAATTGAACTGGTAAAATTAATAAAAGCTAGAAATACAGTAACTATTACAACCTTGTCTCGCGGAAGAAGTGATCTGTTCCAAGTTAAGAGAAGTAATTAATGAAAATATCCAAGTGTCCACATCCAGAGAAAATTTAAAAGCATTAGCAAATGTAAAGAAAATAAATAGTCACTGTCTGTACTTTCTTATAGCAAGATGTTCATCAAAACATATAACAAGCTTGTCAGTAAAACTTGTAAACAGATAGATAAAAATGGAGAGTGGAAACAATATCTGTTATTTTTATAATATCAAACAATAAAGACAATAGACTTTCTTTCACTTTGACCTTGCAGACCTATTGATAAGGATGATATTGAAGCTGTTACAGTTGGTTGCATGGAGAATGCAGACTGAAAAAAATGTTAGACATATCAATATCAAAATTTAGGGAAGTGTTTATACTTCTTTAAACAATGCTTAAAAAAAGAGGTAGGACATTTAGCTGTGATCCTATTATATTAAAATATTATTTTAATGTCATTTTTCTTACCGACATACATAGCCCTTAGTGTGCTGCAAGTTAGATGCAATGCTGTGAATACAATTAGAAGCCTATGTACTATGTGAACCTGATATTATACAATTAAATATCCACACTGAGTGAATAAATACAGTATTTATCTTTCAGTTTCAAAAGAAAACATGATTAATGACTAATGTAATAATCTAAAATGTTAATAAAATACTATGGGAGCTAAAATTCAGTTCCTTCAGTATTCCAATCATTTGTCTCAAAATGCATAAGATAAATTATTGTAAACTATTTTATTTCCTTAAGTACTATGTTTTGTAGTCTTGTGTTATTTATTTATTTATTTATTTTCTCTCTTTAAGTGATTTTCTTTTAGGAGAAAGGCAATCACATTGAAATAATTAACCTTTCATTTTCTTGTCTTCATAAGGTAATTCTACTACAAAAATGCATTTTATGCTCTCATTCACATAATCATTTTAATGGAAACATAAACAAAAGATTTCAAGTTTCTTAGAGTACTTGGGGAAAAAAGAACAAAGTAGAATAGCAGTCATCTGTGAAAACAACTGACATTTAGTTTCACATGTTAGGTAAATCCAAATGGCAGGAGAACATTTCTACTCACAGGTGTCTAAAGACTCGTCTGAATCATCAGGGCAGTCAGGGTCCCCATCACACAGCCAGCTCTGGGAGATACAAGTCACGTGATCGTGGCAAAGAAACTCACCAGGATCACACAAATGCTGATCTGAAAATGAAAATGTTTGGAAATAAAATATGAATGACCTGAACATGAACACAAGAGCAATACAAAGATGAAATGTGAAAAACAATACATAAAAAAGGGACATGACGTGAGCCACATTTTCTGATCAGCAGCAAAGCTAAACCATTTTTTTTTTTTTACTGTCGCACCTTGGATCAGTCCCAGATTTTTAAAAAAAGATTTATTTATTTATGCATACAAGAACTGGGTACAGGCATGAGAGCACTCACCAGAAACAGTGTGTGGAACAAAACAAGCAGATCAACTGAAATACACTGCTGAGGGGAGCAGTGGGGTGTAAAACAGGAGAGGTCTGCTGTGCTTGTGGTTTAGCACCCTAGTAGGGAAGGAACTAGTGCAACAGTGATTGGTGATAGCTTCCTAGTGCTGAGAATTAACCCCTTGTACCACCAGGGAAACCAAAGCACACAATTTTGTAGGCTGAATTTACTATGTTCTCACATTATCTGTTCTGAAATAGTTAAGAATTATCTTTCTGTTTATGATTATCCTATTTGTCACATTGCATAACCATATAGATAGTGATCCATAGGATTAGTTGTTCAGCATAGAAATTAAAATTTCCTCCCCAGACTCAGGAAAAAAAGAAAATATAATTCATTAATAAAGTTTAAATACGGGTCCTCCTTAGTGGTATAGTAGGTTGAAGAGCAAAACTACTAAGCTAGCTGCAACCACTGCAGCATGAGATCTATCCCCAGCTAGGTGGGTGACCCACATGGCACAGCAGATCTCTCCTTTCTCACCATTGCTCTCAGCAACACTGTTGAGACTTCCTCAGTCTGCCTGTTCTGCTCCCCACTTTGTCTCTAGTGTCTACCCATGTACCTCCGGCGTGTCTCCCAGTTCTATATGCATAAATAAATAAATATTTAAATAAAATAAAATTTTATATTATGTTTAGACTCCATTTTGAGTTTTCATTTTATTTAATTGTCCATTCTAATAATGGGGTACTGTGTGTCTACAACAATCAGATATTCAATATTATACTTTTTTTATTATTTTTTTTCACTATAACTTCCCAAGTATGACATCTGCTACTGGACAACAAGTATGATAGTTATCTTTCATAAAGGCTTGTTCCAACTTGCTTTTTTTAATAATGGGTTATATCCTAAAAGTGCATTATTTTCCTTAAACTATTTCAGAATATATAAGAGCTACAGCCTTTCCTCAAATCTTAGCAAAGTCATTGGGCCAACATTGACGTTTTGCAATATACTTACGTATCTCCTGTGAATTCAATGAAATATTTTGCTTTATTGTTTTTTAACAATTTTGAAATAAGAATGTTTCCAACGTAATGATAACCTCCCAAACACCTTAGTCAGTTGATGCCACTTATACTTTGTATATACAGCACTGATTCAATAAAAAAAAAATCAGCATATAGGTGTCTCAGTATATTTCAAATGCAAATTTAAGATATATGTAATCACAAAACTAAGCATAATTTGTATTATTTCCCTAGCAATATAAAAATAATGTTATATCTTCCACTCATAAACTCGGTGAAAGCTGGTCATCTGTTAGCAGACTATTACAAAATTTTAGTGCAAATTTCTAGATCACTGACTTAATGTAATAAAGAGTAAGGTTAAATTTTTGCTTTAAATGATGGAAGAGTTAGAAAATTTGTCACCAAATGGTTGAAAGGATCTACTTTGTCTCCTAGAAAATAGACTTAAAAACTGAGTGTATGGTATCACAAAACAAATCTATAGTTAATGCACACAGAAAATAAAATGCATAATCTTTTTTTTTTAAGATTTATTTATTTATATAGAACTGGGGTACAGGCCAGAGATGGGGAGGGTGAGAGGATTCACCAGGGAACAGATTGGGGAGCAGAACAGGCAGATCGACGAAGTACACTGCTGAAGGGAGCAGCGGGAGTGTCTGCCATGCCATGTGGATCTCCTCCGTGGCAGGCGGGGATCTAACTCATGCGGAAGTGGCTTAAGCTTAGTGCTGTGATTTAACCCGCTGCGCCACCAGGGAGGGCCCTAAAATACATAATCTTTGTGCATGTGTGTGCTTGTTTAAATTTTTATTTAAGCCTCCTCATGAAAACATTAGGAGAACAATAATAGTATATATAAAGGGGTTAATAATTAATGTTTTATACTTTTTAGTTAAAGAAGCACTTTCACTTCCCTATCTTAATTTCTTTATTTGTTTGCTTACGTAGCAAACATTACAAAACTACTATGTTCTAAGAATTGGGTTTAAATAATAAAAAACAAAACAGAAATTGACAATATCATGAAACTTACATTACAATGGAAGGACAGGGAAATATAATACTTAACGGCTTAGTGTATTTGAAGATATATACATATATACAATTTGAAGATTGTGAAATATCATGGAGGTATGATTTTTTTTGGAGGGGGGAAAGATTTATTTGTTTGTTTGTTTGTTTGTTTATGCATACCAGAACTGGGGTATAGGACAGAGGTATATGGGCATGAGAGGATTCCCTAGAGACAGAATAGGGAACAGGCAGATCCACTGAAATACACTGCTGAGGCGAGAACCAGGTGAGACAGGAGAGATCTGCTGAGCCATGTGGGTTAGGTCCCTGGTGTCAGGGAATCAAGTTCATGCTTCAGTGGCTGTTGATAGCTTCATAGTTAACCACTGCACCACCAAGGAGGCCCAAAGTACAGTTTTAAATAAGATGGTTATAAGATATATCACAGGGAATGTCACATTTAATAGGTGAATGTATTACCCATTTGAACTAATGGTTATTTCATAAAAGTTAGACACTATGGACAGAAGGTGGGAGATTAGTTTAAAAAATGTAAGGAGTATTACAGAGGTCAGACTGCCTGGAGAAAAAGAGAATGTAGAAGACTTGAGGTCAGAGAATCAGAATGTGGGACTGAGGGCAGCATAGAGTCTCTGGGCTTTATTAAAAGTCATGAGGAGTAACATACAATCTAATTTACTTTTTTAGTTGGCTACTGAGATTAGGCTGTAGTGCCCTGCAGGTGTAAGCAAGGATATCCATTAGGATGCAACAATCTAGATGAGAGTGATGACTGTGTGGATAAAGATGTCTGCAGAATGGAATTTCAAGCAGAATTTCGATGAGGAAACTGAAGTTAGATAGCTTGTTTTTATTTCACTGGATGTTAGAATCTTAAATTCAGACCTCTGGTTCCAAATGTAAGACTGTCAACTGTTTTTGTATATACTGAGTATGATATGTTTGGGGGTGTAGAAGAAGTAATAGACAGTAACACATTGAAGGAGAGAGAGAAAGAGAGGGAGAGGGAGAGAAAGAAAAGAGAAAAAAAAAGAGAGAGAGAGAGAGAGAGAGAGAGAAAAGAAGACCCAGAGCTATAAAAGGACAAGAAAGAAAATCCTCAATCTTAATGTAGATGGAAAAATATAAGGTATTGAAGAAGTGAGACAGACAGAAAGACAGATAAGGGGTTTTGCCATAACCATGTTAAGTTTTGAGGACTGAATTAAAGAAGAGGGTTGCTAGTGGGATGAATTCTGAAAGGATGGAATCCAATATCAGGGTGAGGGAAAGATGCCATGAAGAATGAATGACAGCAGGTCCAAGAAAGATATGAAAGAGGAGCAATTTCCCAAGAATCATGGGCTGAAATTAGAATTTTCACTTTAGTAGGAACATTTACCCTAGGGAAGAAAGGTTAGACAAATAAAATAGATAAATTATTACCAGGTATGGATGAAGACTATTATTCTTGCCTAATTGTATTTTCTCCAAAGAACTGTAAAGCAAGTTTGCTTTTTGAAAATTTAGAAAAATAAAATTGAAAAGAATAGTAAAGATTTGAAGCAACTATGTATAGGTTTGGGAAAAAAAAATCAGCTTTATGAATGAATTTCTAATAGCATTGAGCATCCGAATAAGGTTGAAACATATGTATTTGACAGTTAAATGTTTTGTTTATTCTCTGTGTGTGAATAGATGTCCAAATTTTAACCTACATTGATCCACAGATACAAAATAATCACTTGGGAAAATTCCCAGAGAGATTTTCTAGGAAAATATATAAACAATCATGTGCAATACATATTTACACCTATGTGGTCATATACGCAATTCAATCATGATTCAAATGAACTTTTTTTTTTTTTCTTAGAAGAAAGATAGACTTAAGGGGATTTATCTAATGAGCCTATGATATCAGCTTGCTAAGAACCAGTCTTTATGGACAATTTGCACTGCTGCAAATCTGGAGACATTTTTATAACCTTCCTCTAAGAAATAACAATGAATAATAGCTGGGTACACTCACACATTTATTTTTCAAACATATTCCATTCCAAGGTCAGTTTTTAAAAGCATTGACTATAGAATTCATATGAATGCATTTTTGGTAGTTAAACTGATTATGTTAAAATATTGACACTGGATTTTTTTTTTTTTTACCTTGAATCAGAAGTTAAGTATGTTGTGTGTATACATATTTTCTGCTTATCAAAAAGTTTACTGAGTTTGGATTTGCCCTGGGCTGAGAAAAGCTTAGTATGATGATACTACTACACTAATATGAAAATATTTAATTACTTATTTTAACAAAAGTTTATAATAAAGTTTTTGGAAGTTTTTTTTTTTTTT